GCTTCGGCGACACACAAGGAGTGATGCCGGGCACTCGCATGTGTTTGCTGACAAGAGGGAGCCAATGAAGTGCAAGCGACGGGTTCACAAGGTCCCGAAAAGCGCACTGATCATCGAAAACTCTGATGTCGGCTCGGATGCAGATACCGCTGCCGGTGGGAATATTGAGAGCAGGACAGAGTCAGCTGATGAGGATGAGAGTCGAATTTGCAAACGGCGTAGGCTGGATCTTGATATTGTTGATGGTGACCAATATGGCAACTCGTCAGCTTCGGAAACGATCGAGGATTTCTCGTCCGATGCCCGGTCGCTTGCTGAAACGATTGAGGATGCCGATGACTGGGAGTAATACGAGAACATGATTACAGTGATTGTTCCGTACCTAGTACCTACATTCCCATATGCCAGCATTCTGATATTACCTATTGCGACATTGCGAGGGTGCGCATGCGATCAGCACGGACACAAGCATCTCCGGTATGTTGATACATCAGCGCGCAACGTGGAGACACCTGACATGGGTGTAACCGCGTAAATGGGAAACTCGTAGCTACGGTCTCCCGAGTGATGTTTCTACTCCACTCCTCCAACTCCATCGTCTGCCTATGCTCCCACCTGCTCCTTGCCGAGCCACATGCCACCATCCGCAGGTACATCGAGCTTGCGATTGAGCACTGTGCAGAGGTTCACATCTTCCTTCCGTTTGACATCCTGCTGCACAGGGAGGATGTTCCTTTCGATAACATTGATGCCTGCATGCAGCAGCACTCTGCGCTCACGTACTCGGTGCTCAAGCACTACCTGCCCGCCAACGCTGATCCAACTCCACTTATAGATGCTCCTGTGCGCGGCGTCGTGTCGCCCGAGGAGCGGGCAGGCCTGACGGTGAGCGCGGGAACGGCAGTGCTGGACGTGGTGGTGCTGTGTGCGGGGAAGGGCGATTCGCACTACCGAATGTACGTGGTCTTGCTCGCATCACGTCGTGCTCGCATGCTGACTCGCTCTTGTCCTTCCGCTGGCGCATGGCAGTGGCAGGTGAGCTGTGATGAAGAACATGAGCTCGCGCACAAACCACTTCCGACCACCTTTGGGCATATAATAGCCCGGGCAGGGCTTGAGTGCGCTCGCGCGCGGAAGCGGCGATGAGCGGGTGCCCGGGCAATTCGCTGAACATTGGTGAGGAGACGTCAATGTTGTCTGCTCAGCCATCCACTTTTGTGGCCCTCACGGCCCTTGAGCGCCTCACGCAGGACCTCGCACGCATTGACCTCGCAGCATACTTCGGCCTCCTGTGGAGCATCGCGCTGGCCGTGCGCCCGGCCGACCTCGTTCAGGAGCTGCTCCTTGTCCTGCATGAGTGGCGCTCTGCGGGCGGGCGAGGGTGTAGATGTGGGCGCTGCCCGGCGCTACGTGTACAAGGCCGCACTCAGGACCGTGTTTGACTGCGCGGAGAAGGCCGCGCATGCGCGTCTGTGCGACGAGCTCGGGTGCCCGTGGTGGCAGCGGACGAGCTGTATTTCAAGCTTCAGCACCCCCTGCTGCCTGAGCGCGCGCACATGGACTGGTACGTGTAAACTCACACACAAAGCCCTTCTGACTGCTTTTGGGCATATAATAGCCCGGGCAGGCCTTGAGTGCGCTCGCGCGCGGAAGCGGCGATGAGCGGGTGCCCGGGAAATTTGCTGAACATTGGTGAGGAGACGTCAATGTCGTCTGCTCAGCCACCCACTTCGGCATCGTGGCCCTCGCGGCTCTTGAGCGCCTTGCATAGGACTGCGCACGCATCGACCTCGCCGTGTACTTGAACCTCCTGTGGAGGGTCCCGCTGGGCGTGCGCCCGGCCGACCTTGTCCAGGAGCTGCTCCTCATCCTGCGCGAGCGGCTCGCAGGCGAGGGAGGCAAGGACACTGCCCGGCGCGACATGTACAAGGCCACGCTTAGGACCGCGGACGCGTGTTCCTGCAGGTGAGCGAGACGAGTGTTTGCCTTGTCGCTGACAGCCAGTTTGCAGAGGTGGAATTCGCAGAGGCGTCGAGCCTGGGAGGATTGCACAGAGCGTGGTAGAAGACGCTGAATTCCGGGAGCAGGACGCAGCGCGAAGAGCGAGTGCGACGAGGGAATGTGTTGGAGTGCCCGGGCGCTTGCTGTGTAGAAGACCGTCTGTACGACTTGTGCATAAGACTGATAATGAGCTCATCTATACGATTCTATACGACTGTAAGCATGCGCCCGTCTATACAGTTTTACACCCGCATCTATACAGCGTTATACACCCGTCTATACAGTTTTACACCCGCATCTATAGTGCATCTATACAACTTCATACACCAATCTATACCGCCTGATACACCCCTGACCATACCGCCTTATACACCCGTCTATACCACCTTATACACCCCTGGCCATACAGCTTTATACACCCCTGGCCATGCGCTCTTATACGCCCCTGACCTTGCGCTCTCTCGTCGTTTCCAACGGGCATTTGTGCCACACATCGCCATCTGCGCCCGAGACGATCATCTGGATGGCGCCCGGGCACATCCTCGTCCTCGCGTGCCACACCGAGTCGGCGCTGGCCATGTCGACCGGCAATGCGGCTCCGGTGGAGGCACCCCGCGCGGGAAAATAGGATAGCGGCAGCGAGCGTGGGTGCGGGTGCGCCGTATGTGCGTCAGTGCGATGGCGAACGAAGGATGGAGGACTCACAGGAAGCCCCGAGTGCCGTCTCCGTCTGGCAACGGCGCGACGCGCCTTGACATGGGCTTTGCTTTCGATTTTTGACACGGGTTCGTGGTGGGGTCCACGGAGCGGGGCCTGCGCGACTGGATGGTACGCCGATGAGATGGGGCTATTGGGGCCTGCGCGACTCATCTGCAGGACTCGGGGTACCTGTGGGCGGCTGACCGCCGGAGAGGGAGTAGTGTTGCGACGCGCGATCGTTCACAACTTGGTCTGAGAGTTGAGGGTCCCGTGAAAGTCTCCCGGTTGTTTCACGCAGTCCGGTAGCGACAAAAAGCTCCCTTAGATCGTCCTCTGCGTCCTGCTTGACTATACTATGGACTTGGTGTTTCCCATGTCGACCGATGACATTCCCGCCAGGGAGGGTCTTTGCAGAAAAGAGAGGAAGCTCGATACGTGGACATCATTACAATATCACTGGCCGAGCGCTGAGAAGTGGGACATTTTCCAAAGCAGAGGGTGGATATGGGATCGTAAAGCCCATTGGCTACTCGGCGCATCTGTCGCAAGTGCTTCCAAGGCAAGGAGGTGACAGTATCAGACGTGTACCGCCGAGAATGACAGATTATCCTCACGCGATACGGTGCAGACCACATAAGGCGCATTTGTGCAAGCTAAGGATAGTGTGATCCGACAATACTCTGCGCTTCGTATTCTGCTTTGATAGGTGGTATTGATTAACGATATCCCTGAAATATTCAACAGCAGGAGAATTTCTGGAGAGGTAATCGTTGCTCTACTCGCGCGTCATGAGACTCCGCCCTCTGGGTATTGGTGGAAGTTGCACGAATCGGGAGTGGTGCAGCTGTATGGCTTGGGTTTGGTAGCCACATGCAGAAGTTCGACAGTCGAACGTGTCATTTGCGAGGAGGTTGGCTGATGGAGCCAAAAGAGATCTTGCGAGCGGGAGTATGTCGCAAGTTGTGAGACAGCTCTTGTTAGGAGGATATGACCGATAGGTAAAAGACAGAACTGTTGCAAGTCGTCGGCCAGCATGCCCTGCGTCCGCCCGAATGCCCACACGCGAAACCAGAGTATCGTCGTGTGATATAGCGCAGACTCGGCATGAAGTGCGTCTGTGATAGCGTGATTCAATCATCCTTTGCGCTGTGTTTCGTCACGGTCACTATCACCCACCATCGTGAAAGGAGATCCGCAGCAGACGGCTTCCTCGCAGAGCCATCGCTGTGCTCGCGCATCACGCGACTGCGCCGTGGGGGGATGAGTGGGGGTTGCACGGATCGGGCATGGGTGATGCGTCGATGAGAGGATGCTGGCGAGGCGTTTGGCAGCGATACGCGTCATCTGCGAGGAGGCTGACCAAGCAGGCGAGTTGACGCGAAAAGGCGGGAGAGTGTGCGAGAGAACGGGTGTGTGACGAACGACGCCCGGGTAGGCCGCCAATCGGACAGGGATGCAGACCCAGGATTGAACGACTGTCGCCATCGGAGGTCGCAGGAGGCGGGCAGACCGGCGCTTCAAGTGCGATACAGTAGGATGGTTAGGGACACGGGCTGTTGCGTATATGACGTCAGCTGGGGGGGGGGGGTCGCACATGAGATGCGAATCTGGCGTCGGCGACCTGAGATGTGATCGGAAGGGAGGTGGCGCTGGCGCTGAGCCGTGCGAGCCCCGCCGTCCTCCGACCCTTGCTGACTCTGCCTGCGACTCCTCCTCGCCTCTCTCTACTGCGACCAACGACGGCGACGCTGACATCACGGACACCGGCACCCTCTCCCAGTATCCGCCTACCAACACCTTCTATAACCAACCGCGCTGCGCCCAGGTCGCTCTCGCTCTCTCTGCTTCCGTCTTTGGCAGCCTCCTCGTCCTCCCTCAGCCATCCGGACCCATAGCATCCGAGCGTCACCGTGTACCGTCTACACAGAGACGTGCAAATAGGTGCGTACACCCGATCACTATCTTCATTCTCCTCGATCGCGTGTTTCTGCACTTCTCCTTCTTGCGCCGCCTCGCCGTGGGTGCGTCCCTCCATTCGCGCCCTATTGCGTGCGCCCCCGCTGGTCTCCATCCTATCCTGTCCATCGTCCATTGGCCCCGCTTGTCATGACCGCACCCGTGCTATCTGTCCCTTCCGCTCCCGCGCCCTCCCGCGCACACCAGCGTGCGCCTACACGCCCTATACACGCGTCTACGCTGGTGCCATGTCCGATCACCGTGGGGTGCTCAGCCAGCGACAGCGACGGGGATCACAGATCATACTGTGTCCGCCCGTGGGCCTCTGCGCGTCCAGGCCGCGCGCGTCGACGCTGTCTGCGCCCTCCGTTCTTTCCACTGGCATCACGATTCAGAGCCATCTCGTGCTCGTCGCTGCACCCAGATGGCGGCCCCGCCTTCCCTCTGCTCCCCTCGCCGTGCACGCAGGCCGCCGCAGTCCCGTCCAGCGCACGCACGGCACCCCGCGTCCCCGCGTCCCCGCGCCCACTCGGAGTCGCGAATTCGTCAGGGGCGACACTCCGCGCTTCTCGGGGTTCCTGCCGCAGCTCTATTTAGACGCTGCATCGCGAGCGCTCATTCTCACTGACCGCATCTGCCCCGCAGGACGCAGGACGCGCACGCAACACGCGACACGCGACACACCGCATCCTCCGCCGCGACCACCACACGCGCGCCGTTCGCGGTTTCTATCTCATCGGTATCTGTCCAGCGCACGACAGGGCCTGCCCGAGGCGCATCGGCATCCACCCCCAGCGCACCACGCGCCGCACATAGTTCCAGCACCGACCATAGAGATGGTCACATCACAGCCGTCCTCAGCCCGCCCGCCCTCCTCCTTATCCATATCCACATCCACATCCCCAGCGCCCCCGCCCCACCCCCATCCGCTGCGAAACCACCCATCTCAACTCCCCCACCCACACCTGCACGCCCCGCCTCCCGCGCCCCCGCGCCCATCCAGACGCTCCCCGCCGAGCTCCTCGAGCACGTCCTCCTCCTCGCCGCCCCCGCGTCCCCCGCCGCCCCCGCCGCCCTCGCGCGCACCTGCCGCGCCTTCGCCGCCCTCGTCTACGCCGCCCCCGACCAGCACCTCTGGCGCGCGCTCTTCCTCCGCGCGTGGGACGACCCGCGCGCGCTGTCTGGCGAGGCCGGCGTCAGTAGCCGCGAGGGCGCGGGCGCGGGCATCGACTGGGGGCGCGAGTACCGGCGGCGCGTCGCGGCGCAGCGCTGGTTCGCGTCCGCCCGCGCGGACGGGGCGGGGGCGGGGACGATGGGCGCGCACGACGTCGCGCGGACGGCGGACGCGCTCGAGGCGCTCGTCGTGGCATCGCCACCAACATCCTCGCCGCGCAGCTTCGCTGTCAACCTCGTCTCCGACCCCTTTGCCCAGCACGCCAACGCCTGCGCCGTCAATGCGCCCCCGCACGCCAGCAAGTGGGCTCTCAGCGGCCTTACCCATGCCCCCAGCATCAGTCCCCCGCGCACGCGCCGAGCAGCATGGGGAGCTCGCAGCGCGCGCTCAGCCCCCGCAAGACTTGCGTCATCAAACTGCGCCGGTCCCGCGTCTTACATCATAGCGGCGGGGCGATCTGGTGCGTGCGTCCCGCCTCTGTCCTGCGCCGTTTCGCTGACACCACTGCCGTCCTTTCCCTCACAGGATACATTCATATTGCGCACTGTAAATTACTCAGCTGCCCGGTGACTATCTACTCGGACATATGGCTTCCGATACTCGCCTGCAAACTGCCCCGACTCGTCGCGCTTGCCCCACGACTGCCGCGCATCTAGACGACTGCCCCCGACCGCGCCTACGTGCAGCCAGCGCTGTGCGCGCATCATGGACTATCCGCGCATAGGCTGCGCCGTCAAAGTGCGCCGGGCGCACAACTCAACGGCGGCCGTCTCTGTTCCGCGTCATCTCACACCCGCCCCCGACCGTGCCTGCATCCTCCCGCTCTCATTGCGGCGACAACGACATGGGTCGTCCGCATCGTCACGGCCAGACGACTTGGGTAAGCCAGCGGGCCATGACGTGCAAACGGCGGGCACGCGGGTAAGATGCCCGCTTCAACACGCGTGTTGTAAAACTCATGATCGCCCTCATCCGCGCCCTCACACGCACAGCTGCCCGCAGATCAAGATTCCGGCACACGTGCTGCGGCCGCGCTCGCTCTTCTCGTTCGACGGCAGCGCTGGGAAGGAGGCAGATTCAGCGGTGAGCCGCCCGCGCTACATCCCTACCATTAGCTGCCCGGGTGAGTTGCCGATCCCCTTCCGCGTATGCATCCCCCGATCATCTCCCATCAATCTCATCAGCCCATCTGCCCATTTCCCACCCCGCGCATCTGCCACTAACTTCACTCCTCAGCTTTGTTGCGTGATCGCGGACTCTCAATTGCTAGCGCGTCTGCTCCTCCCGCGCGCTTGTGTCCCGTCTCGACGCACACGACGTCAGCATTATTATCCGGTTCCGTACCAATCACGGCCTCTCACCTTCGGTCAAGGCTCAGCATAAGCCCACGGCGAGAAGGGCTGGACGCATCCGAGCGTCACCTCCCTGGAGCACAGCCAAACATCGCGCAGGCGGCCGCGCCATGATCGTCCATCTGCTCCCGCATCCCCGGTGTCCATCATGGCGCGCAAGATGTGAACGCCTACGCACCAAATATTGCGGTAAGTGTTTGCGTTTGGAACCATGGCTGGTCACTCACCAGTAGGCCCGGACGTAGAGTGCGATGTTCTGACAGGCCAGCCGTCAGTTTCCACGCGACCACGAACCACTTAACGACCTACCACTTGCTCGCGTTGCCCAGTCTACCCAGCTGCGGCAACGGCCCCACGCGCTCACGGTCCTCATTGACATCATCTCTGAACATCATCAGCCCGGTCAGCTCACCATCGTTACGCGCGCGCAGCACTCGCCCCACGTACCTGGTATGTGGCGTCCCCCAGCCATCACCTAGACCATCCCGCAAGATTGACTGATACGCACTACCTCGGGGAATCGCCTGCAGCACACCTCTAGCGGCGTACACAGTGAGCGGCGCGATATATCACTCTGCAACATGACGGCACTTACCAGACCAGCATCCGTGGTGGACAGCGGGCGGGTGAGACGAAGCCTGACAGCGGGCGAGCGAGACGAAGTCTGACAGCGGGCGGGCGAGACAAAACCTGGCACAGCGGAAGCCGAGTCATCAACAGTCTAACCACACCCGCTTTTAATCCCTCGCACACTCTCCCGACCCGTCGTCATTCCCACGACTGCTGCCCCACCCAGGCGCGGCTGCCCCTGTCTCGCATCAGCCGCCGCGTCGCTAAGCTATTACTCACCCGATCATGACGACTCATCGCCGCATCCCCGCCCGTGTACCCGGTCGCGGTCATTCTGCCTGACGTGGACGGACGCACTCACCGGTGTGTGCTCCCTCCGGCTCTACCGGCTGCAACACTCCAACATAAGCCGTTACCCTTATTGCTACGGTAGCGATGCCCGTGTCGCACACAGTGTACCTGTGCAATTGATGCCGCGCCCGTATCCGCGCAGCGTCGGGTGCTAGAGTGACGCGTAGGATGCCCCGGTGCGAAGATCCAGTACTGACATTCTGTACCTGGTCAGACACCATCGGTCAGGAAAACAAGGCAAATGGCGACACGCACAGCACCACGCTCACGTCATCGCGGCACGGATTTGCACATCCCGACCACAGGAGGGGCTGACGACGCCTGTCTGTCAATCAAAACAAATCAGACGGGAGAGCCCGCCTGCGCCTCCATGTTTTGGATGCAAAATCACGTCGCTCTACTCGTACGGCACCGTGCGATCACAGCGCATCAGTGAGCTTGGTGCAAATACCCAGCTTGGCGGTCGCGACGGTGCGGGAAGGCGCGGAATCCGCCAAAGATGAACCGCCGTCTTACGGCAGAGCGCTGTAACATCAATCTGCGCGGTGAAACCAGCGGGAGCTGCCATATGGTGGCGGTTATGGTACGTATTCTATTCCAATTGATGTGACATGTTCATGCCATGGGCAGCGTCGGGGGTGGGATGCATGTGCGCGCCGTCTTCCATACTCGGTCAGGACACGCTGCCCATGCCATCGCGCGCACTCAGCCGTTGTGTGCACCCGCAGCATCAGTAGCATTACTACGAACATTTACGGAAATCTAAAATATATTTTCATGTGTGACACCGGAGCATGTGGCGCATAGACGCAGGGCTGAAACGGACCTTTGTCGTGCTGTAAATAAAAGCAAAAGCTCACTATGGCGGATTTCTGTATAGTCGCACTTTCTGCCCGCAAAATGTACTACCATTTGTTGTTCTTCGCACTGTTCTGTTACTGACCTCAGACTGTGTGTAGACTCGCATTGGGCTGTTCTTCATGACTGGCGAAAACCATCTGCAGCCACTGTCACGGCCATGGCAGCTGTACAAGACACGCTATCGACGACTCAAAGGTGCATTGCGTGATGTCATGACCGAAGATCTCCGTATGTATTCTTGCTTCTCACGCTCGCTTACCAATCTGATGCTTGTCTAGGCGAGATTACAGGCAACCGATCCATCAAGATGTCGTGGACCGCAGTTGACTTTCACCAGCGAATTGAGCTGCCATATGGTGTCGCTCTTGTAGGATGGCCAACTGATATTGCCCGCACAAACCTGAGCAAGATCGGGGGATGCGACATCCTCGACAACCTGCTTACAAAGTGGCGAACAGGCAAAATGCGGTTTGAGCTTCTGGATCCGGCAAGGAGACCTGTCAGGCTCGAGCTTCGGCGACACACAAGGAGTGATGCCGGGCACTCGCATGTGTTTGCTGACAAGAGGGAGCCAATGAAGTGCAAGCGACGGGTTCACAAGGTCCCGAAAAGCGCACTGATCATCGAAAACTCTGATGTCGGCTCGGATGCAGATACCGCTGCCGGTGGGAATATTGAGAGCAGGACAGAGTCAGCTGATGAGGATGAGAGTCGAATTTGCAAACGGCGTAGGCTGGATCTTGATATTGTTGATGGTGACCAATATGGCAACTCGTCAGCTTCGGAAACGATCGAGGATTTCTCGTCCGATGCCCGGTCGCTTGCTGAAACGATTGAGGATGCCGATGACTGGGAGTAATACGAGAACATGATTACAGTGATTGTTCCGTACCTAGTACCTACATTCCCATATGCCAGCATTCTGATATTACCTATTGCGACGTTGCGAGGGTGTGCATGTGATCAGCACGGACACAAGCATCTCCGGTATGTTGATACATCAGCGTGCAACGTGGAGACACCCGACATGGGTGTAACCGCGTATATGGGAAACTCGTAGCTACGGTCTCCCGAGTGATGTTTCTACTCCACTCCTCCAACTCCATTGTCTGCCTATGCTCCCGCCTGCTCCTTGCCGAGCCACATGCCACCATCCGCAGGTACATCGAGCTCGTGATTGAGCACTGCGCAGAGGTCCGCATCTTCCTTTCGTTTGACATCCTGCTGCACAGGGAGGATGTTCCTTTCGACAACATTGATGCCTGCATGCAGAAGCACCCTGCGCTCACGTACTCGGTGCTCAAGCACTACCTGCCTGCGGGCCTGGTATGCCTCCTGGACATGATGGCGCCCCTCGCCACGCTCATCATGCGTAATGTGATCCCCTCGGCTACCCACCTCAGGATCACGGCCCTCGCAGCCCTCGAGCGGCTCGCAGAGGACCTTGCGCGCATTGACCTCGCAGCATACTTCGGCCTCCTGTGGAGCGTCGCGCTGGGTGTGCGCCCGGCCGACCTCGTTCAGGAGCTGCTC